GAGGTTTTGCTATAGGAAGCGTGCACTCGCCAGAAAGACAGAGAGACAGAAAATGATAAATTGCCCTCCAGAAGGGATGGCCACACCACAATCCCTTCTGCTCCATTCTCCTCTCAGGATCTTGGGCACGCACGCACACGTGCCCAGCGTGAGTTTAAGCCATTCGAACCATGGTCGACTATACGGGAGTCCAGCAACATAGTTATTACGCCAACTGGTGGTCCCAATTTCTTATTCACTTTTAATTGCTCCCTACCTCTATAGCATACAATAAGGTTTTTCAAAGTGTGCATGAAGTATATTTAAATTAGAAAAATACTAGTGTATATCTTCACAACCTTTTTTGCTTTCTGGTTTAGAACATATTTTTGCATATTGTGGACTTGTCTGATCCTAAGAGAATATGGAAATTTGTGGAAAATTTCAAGCAGGAACATAAACTCAATGTTCTGGTAAGCTTCATGTATGTATTTTGAGGCTAAATCTCTATTTTTTTTCATCATGGATGTGGGTGGATCTGTGCGTTTGGGCATCTTTGTGTAAGAATCTTAATAAGCATCATTTGGCTTGGGGTTGTTCCTATAATAAAGTTTCCTCACTGAATTCAAGAAGAGACCCAGCATGCTGGTTAGATTTGTCAGGACAGGAAGGGGCCATCCACGGGGTAGGTATTACAGGAGGATGTGTGTGTTCCATTTCTCATAAAACAGCAGTTTCTATAACTGTCCTGAGCTCTGTAGATTTAAGGATTACATTAAAGTTAGAAGTCCAGGGGAAAATAAAACAGTTTAGTCAAGGGGCCAGCAGGTGGTGTGGAAGTTAAGGCTGCTGGATCCCACATGGCCGACTGAAAGGTTTAACTTCTGGACCCTGGGCTTGAAAATCACACCTGGTGCATGTGTGCCCAATGTCCCAAGAGAAGAATGGAGGAGGGATTGCAGCATGGCCCTTCCCCTGCCCCCAGAGGGTGCCTTTCCACTTCCTCCCTCTCTCTCTGGTGAGTGCATGCACCTTATAGCAAATTAAAAATAAAAATAAATAAATAAATAACATTTTAAAAATTAAAAAGAAAGAGTTTAGTCCAAAAGAATACCCACTGCAGAAAACAAATCTGCTGTCGGGGAGGACTCAGGTGGGAAAGTGCCCATCTACTCTCTTCCCAGATATTCTGCTCGAGTGAAGTTAATTTTCTATTCAAATAATTTCTTTTTAATTTATTTATATATTTTTAAAGTTTATTTGTTGAGAAAGAGGGGCAGGGAAAGACAAGCACTCTCAACAAGGTCTCACTCTACAGTCCCCTCTTGGCCTTTCCAGGCAGCCAGGATCATGGACATGCCTTGGTGTGTCCAGGTTGACTAGAGAACCAAACCCGTCATCCTCCATGTGGATTCAGCTTCATTTGGGCAGCGTGTTACTGACATCGAGCTGGCCCATCTGTCCAAATACTTTCTCATGTGCTCTGAAGTGACATTTGAGCCAGAGTCTGACTGTCCAAACATTTAAAATATAGCTAGGCTATGGGACCTTCTTTTTGGGGGTGGGGGGAGGTTTTTGTTATAGGGTGTGTGCTCTTGCCAAAAATAAAGAGACAGAGAGACTGAAAGCGAGAAATCAGCCCCTGGGAAAATGGCCATGCCACAATCCCTTCTCCTCCATTCTCCTCTTGAGATCTTGGGCACACGCACACACATACCTGGCATGAGTTTAAGCCACTGGATCCTGGACTTGAACCACAGTCAACTACATGGGAGTTCAGCGATGTAGCCATTATGCCATCTGCTGGTCCCAAGGCTATGGAACATTTAAAATATATCTAGTCTGGGCCAGCCCATAGCCTGGTGGTTACTTGAGCCGAACCCCACATGGCTGACCATGCAGTTAGAATCTTGGACCCTACAGTTCGAAAAACATGCCAGGTACGTGTGTGTGCATGCCCAACTCCTGAAAGAAAGAAAGGATTGTGGCATGAGCATGCTCCACAGGGGTTGCTTTCTCACTTTCTCTCTCTCTCTCTCTCTGGGGCACATGAATGTCCCCTCTGGCTAGAAAAAGAAAAAAAATGTAGCTAGTGTAAACTGACATGCACTATAATGTAAAAATCAGATTTTGATTAATGTGAAAAATAAATGTATACTATCTCAATATTTTTAAAATTGATTATATGTTGAATGATGATGTTTTAGATATATTTGGTTAAATAAAAAATATTATTAGAATTCATGTTAACTGTTTCTTTCACCTTTTTAATGTAGCTACTAGAAGACTTAAAGTCAGATTTTTTTTTTTTTTTTGGAGAGGTTTTCGCTATAGGGCGCGTGTGCTCGCCAGACAGACAGAGAGAGACATAGAGACAGAAAGCGAGAAATCACCCCCCAGGGGGGATGGTCATGCCGCAATCCCTTCTCCTCCATTCTCCTCTCAGGATCTTGGGCATGCACGCACACGCGCCCAGCGTGAGTTTTAAGCTGCTGGGTCCAGGACTTGAACCGCGGTTGACTACGTGGGAGTCCAGCAACATAGCCATTATGCTAACTGCTGGTTCCCTTAAAGTCAAATATTTTTACTGGCCAGTGCTGGGCTAGACTGATTCCCAGAGCATTTTCTCGTGAATCAGATTGCCTAGCCAAGTCCCTTAACTAGAGACCTTGGCATAGTTCAATGGCGGAGTCCTATGCACAAGTGGCATTTTCCGGGGAGGGGTATGGAGTGAAGGGACAGTTGAGCAGAACCGTTGTCATCATTTGAATGTT